AAAACAATTCCATTCGACTTTTCAATACTCTCATGCCAATCTTACCGCACTACAGACTGCAACATCGATGCAACAACTGAATAAGAGTATTCATCTTCAAATTACATCATAGAGTTACGTTGAAAACCAACAAATCACTGAGCAGTAGACCAAAGAGGAAGCGTCGCTATAATCTAGGTCACTCTGTTCAGTGGTCCGAAAGCAAAGCTATGAATGAACCATAAAAACTAAAGCAAAGCTATAGTACTCGTTTCCGAATTTTGTTGTTCATTGTACAATCTTTTATTGATTAAACTCGGTATACTGACTATTAAAGCAATGACAAAGAAGAATACTTCCGATGTTGTCATTGTTTTATTTAGCGTGCGGGTGTAAAAACAAAATTGCGTAATTAGTTTGATTTAGAACTTTCTAGTCACGCAAATAGCTACGCGAAATGCATAGTGAGAAAATATTGACCAATCAAATTTTGTCCTTTTTGAGTGCTTTTTCAGAACATATTTGCGAACGTTCTGATTCAAAGAGCGAATCGCAAAAGGGAGAATTATGGAATGGGCCATCAGCTTCACCCCAAAATTTAGGTTATCGGTATCAAATCAGGGGAATAATCGCCATAACGATTTTTGGGAAGGTTAAGACCTCTAGAGTAAGAAACTATGTGATAGCATTGCAACAGTTGTAGCTAAATGGGTGTTATCACCCATTTTTCAAAATGGCCGCCAGTGCGCGTGTTACAATATAAGAGTGGGTATATCTAAGCACACTGAGATGCAAAAACTGTGATTCTAGGACCTATACTAGGGTTTTAGGGGTCAAGAATTTCACTGGAGACAATATCTAGGTTTTAGGGGTCAAGGGTTTCATTTGTGTCTAAATCTGAGTCATCAAATAATTGCTTTTCATAGAAATCCAAGATGGTCACCAAAATGGGAACCAATAACAAGTAAATGTTGATTTAAGCTCAAAGAACAGTTTATAACAGTAATTTGAGACCATGTCAAGATATTTGGTGTCAAGAATTTCAGTTATGTCTAAAACTATAACTAATTCCTTTATTTGGATCCAAGATTTTCAACATTGCTGCCGAAGTGAAAATAAGATTTATTATCTAAACTTTTAGAGGAGTTAGAACATCAATTTTTGATATTTTAAGTTTGCGAGGTCAATGATTTTAATTTTGTCTTAATAAATTCAACAAACATTTTATTTATATAGATATCCAATATGGCCTCCAAAATGGCTGCCAAAATGAATTCATATATCTATCCATTTATTATAGATCACCAAGAACAATACTTTGGGAAGCAATATTTACTTTAAGGAGGTCAAGAATTTTGGTTATCTAGAGCTATGTCATGAAACAACACATTTGTGATTAATATCAGAATTCAAGATGGATGCCAAAGTGTAAATATTATAAAAGGTCAAATAAGAACAAACAATTACATGAACATTTGCGAAATAAAATCTTGGGCTCAGTATCATAAACACTGACTATGGAAAGAAGTAGACTGCACATAGGAAGCAGTAGATTATTGGATGGAGGAGATCAAGCACAAGAAATTCCTCGAAGACAAGTGTATAATACACCAGAAAGAGTTTGATGAAGATAAACATTTTAGTCAGTCCTCAAAATCGTGACTCTGCAGCCATTTTGGTGGTCATTTTGGATATCAAAATAAATGAATTATTTTATGACTTAATTAACGACAAAATTGAAATTCTTGGCCTCTTAAACCTGGACATGGTCTCCAAAATCACTGTCCTTAACTGTTCTTTGAGCTTAGATCAATAGTTACATATTCATTTCAACACCCATTTTGGTGGCCATCTTGGGTTTCTATAAAAAGTAATTATTTGAATACTTAGATTTAGACATAAATAAAATCCTTGGCCCTTACAAAATAGACAGAGTCTCCAAAATTACTGTTCTTTTAGCTTAAATCAATAGTTACATATTCATTGTGGCATCCATTTTGGTGGCCATCTTGGATTTCTATAAAAAGTAATTGTTTGATGACTTAGATTTAGACATAAATGAAATCCTTGACCCTTAAAACCAAGACATGATCTCCAAAATCACTGTTCTTTGAGCATAAATCAATAGTTACATATTCATTTTGGCACCCATTTTAGCGACCATCTTGTATTTATATGAAGAGGTAATTATTTGATGACTCCAATTTAGACATAAATGAGATCCTTGACTCGAGAACTGTGACATGATCTCTAAAATCACTGTTCTTAACTGTTCTTTGAGCTTTATTCAATAGTTAAATATTCATTTTGGCACCCATTTTGATGGCCATCTTGGATTTCTATAAGAAGTAATTGCTTGATGACTTAGATTTAGACATAAGTCAAATCCTTGACCCTTTAAACCTAAACATTGTCTCCAAAATCACTGTTCTCAACTGTTCTCTGAGCTTAAATCAATCAGTTAAATATTCATTTTGGCACCCGTTTTGGTGGCCATCTTGGATTTCTATATCAAGTAATTGTTTGATGACTCAAATTTAGACATACATGAAATCCTTGACCCCTAAAATGCAGACATGTGCTCCAAAATCACTGTTCTTAACTGTTTTTTTTTAGCTTAAATCAATAGTTGAATATTCATTTTAGCACCCATTTTGGTGGCCATCTTGGACTTTTTATTTAAAGTAATTGTTTGATGACTAAGATTTAGACATAAGTCAAATCCTTGACCCTTAAAACCTAAATATGGTCTCCAAAATCACTGTTCTTAACTGTTCTTTGAGCTTAAATCAATAGTTACATATTCGATTTGGCATCCAATTTGGTGGCCATCTTGGATTTCTATGAAAAGTAATTATTTGATGACTCAGATTTAGACATAAATCAAATCCTTGACCTCTAAAACGTAGATATGGGCTCCAAAATCACTGTTCTAAGTGATTCTTGAGCATTAACAGTAGTTACATATCCGTTTTTGCACCCATTATGGCAGCCATCTTGAATTTCTATAAGAAACAATTGTTTGATGACTTAGATTTAGACATAAATGAAATCCTTTACCCCCAAAACCTAGACATAGGTCCTAAAATCACAGCTTTTGCATCTCAGTGTGCTTAGATATACCCACTCTTATAGTTTAGTTTAGTTTATTTACTTAAGTGTCACAGGCCTATTATTTTACATAATTATACGTTCTATTATTCAAAAGCCCCGAGCCAACAATGGCTTATGAGACACTGTCCATATCAGAAAAATTGCTTATGAAAAATTATTGATTTTGAATAAAAAATAATATTATAGACACACAATCAGTCAATTACTAGTACGTCGAATAATCCAATCCAATCCAAACCTTATATTGTGACACGTGCCATGCCATATTGTGACATGTGACCATGTAATTTGCATCGTAGGGGCTTAGTATTCTTTTTCATAATACCTAGAGCGGAAACTTATTGAGTATTATGCAATGGAATTGCACTGTGGGCAGTTCAAAAACGCAGCCTTTTGCTTGTTAGTGTAAATTACTTCAGGGTGTTTGACCTAGTGGTCCATAACTCGTAAAAGGGCCATGTTGTGTACTTGTATGACTGTGTATGAGTGCACCTAAAAGAACACAGGGCTCACCCTAGACTATATCCTCTAGTCTGAAATTTTTTGAAAGGATTGGTATCGATATGGAGAACCTTTTGAACACAGGTTTCTCTTAAACCAGTCATAAAAAATCTAAAGATTTAACACATCGTCAATTTAATGGTCATCTTTTGAGTGGTAACAATATAATTTGAAAAATACCTATATACTTTCATTTATATTGTTTTAGAAAACACATCAAACACTTGTTTTGTTCTTGGTATCATGTTGATATCAGCGTGAAATGAAACCTCATTGGAACAAAACGACATAAACACTACATGTTTAGGTCTCTCAATGTTGTAATTGTACAAAGGAAAATTTTGGTTGATTTTAAAAAAGTATTTTGTTAATGAAATAAAAGGTTTATCTTGATTTTTCATCTATTTTAGGGGGATTTTGTTTTAATTTTTTGAATACTTTTTAAAATCAACCCAAAATTCCTTTGTATAACTATAATATTGAGATGTCTAAAAACATGTTGTATATGCTAGTTTGTTCCAACAAGGTTCGGGAAGACATTTTATTTCATTCTCAAGAATTGGTAGAAAGGAGCAAAAGCAATTGCACTAAGAAAACAAAAAATGTTAACAAAAACAGTTACATAAAATATTTCTAAGCAAATTTCGCATTAAATTGTTGTCAATCAGTCAACATCATATAAAATACCATGTTTTTTACAGAATGTTTTCAATGATTGGTTTAAGAGAAAAACATTGTTGAATTCAGTTCTCCATATCGATACCACTCCTTTGGAATGAAAATATTCAGACTATCTATAGCCCACATATGTTAAAATTTGAGATTGAAAATATTTTTGTTTACATAGGGAGTGCCATTCAAAATGGCCGATTGGGTAAATTAATTTGCATATTTGTTGTTACTTCCCTTGCTTTATTTCTATTTGACAATAAGCTGTGTTACAGTTACTTTTTATAGCCTTCAATTATGCCTTATTTAATTAAATTGTTATAATGCTTATTTTTGGAAGTGAAGTTTCCTCAAATTGATAATTGTGTTCAGGAAATTTCATGTTTTTTCCCACAGGAGGGACATAATGATCAATAGACTGAATTCTCAGAAAATTCAGTCAATTGGATATAGACTAGGGCTCGCCCAAAGAGGGGCTCCCGGGTCTGCCTTCCATGATTTCATGCGACCGTACATATACGGGATATATCCAAGAGGTATTGCTCACCTTCAATGGTGGTAAACAACATACAATACAATAAGAATCAGAAGAGCAGTATCGTTCATCAGGACATATTTCTTGATTTTCTCGGGTTTTGGTTAGTAATCTGTATAAATACTCACAGGTGTGAGTAGAAATAAAAACTAAACTGAAACTTAAACTACTGTATCAATGCATAATTACGTTCTATTTTCAGATGTTACGGTGAGCTAGAATAACAGCAGTTCCGATTACTATTACAACACCAACAAATCAGACATTTCGGACAATTAAAAATCAGTACTGTTATTGCAACAATACATATATATGAATAGTGACTAATCCATTGATTGACGCAATGTGACAATTTAACTCCATTATATGTGTAACCTTTTACATTTATACAGGGTGACCCTCAAATTTGGAATAAATTTTTGGTCCATAACTACAATGTTTGTGAAATATGTTTTTATTTTATCACGTACTCTCCTAGTTATATTTAAGAAGTGGTATATGCACTTTTTCCTGAGCTTTAATGCATAATGAACCCACTGCCGAGAGTTAAAATAAGTATCCTCACAAATAACAGTCATTATCATAGAAAAAACACAATTAACAACATGTATGACATGTAAATACAAATGCCTTAAAGACCCATGAAGAATAGAAAAAATTATAATTTTAGATATATTTGTAACAGTTTGGGATTTATTTTTAACGGTTTATTTATTTTAAATTGCATTGCTATAGTTCGTGCGTAACACATACGTACTGTAATTACCAGTTTGTTCGGAACTTATTGTTAACAGACTTACTGCAAAGCAACAAAAATTACAATATCCGAGGACGCCTATTAATATGATATGTCTGCCCCGATTTTCAGATTCACTTTAAGCATGCAAACGGAGATTCTGTTGATTTTGCCCAGCCTGGACGAAAAACTATATTCTAGGCCCTACTTACTATTGAAAATACAACTTGCATATATGCCTTAAACACGTCCAAGTATGGGATAAACCTACACCTCTCTCGATCCACCAGACTTTCCATAGCACCAGGCAAAACCAAATTCGAATGGGATATATTGACGGAGGTATAAAACGTACCATAAACCAATATTCAGTTTCCGGCCAAGAAATACGCGTTATGCACCATATCCATACCATATCATACAATGCTGTCGATTGTGTATTTTACCATTTTTAATATCACGTGAAAAACTTACAATGCAGAAATCAAACATAAGTTAAGAGTTACGAGACAACAACACATCTCGGCGAACCTTCTATTGATTCCTCTTTTTAATGAGCCCGTTACAGAATAAAGATCAATCGGAATAACGAATGACTCCATCCCTAAAACGCAACTTCAATTAGCCAATTCAAATTAAAAGATACAAATACCCGAAAAAAGATTTTTATCCAAATTCAGCCTGGAAAAAACGGATTTTATTTAAATTCAGCCCGAATACCCCTGGTATTTTTACTTAAACCTGAACCCGGATTAATCCTGGAATCTTTTTTATGCAACCCGGATAACCCGGATTTTTTAAATCAGACTGGAATTTTGTGAGAAGTATTAATAGTGATACAGTTATTAATCTTTAACTCAGGTATCATGTGTAGCATGTGTAGTCTAAAGACAACTATAGGATATCCTATGATTTTGAGGAATATCACCTTTATCTACTCGGTGATATTGATGTCTGCACGAGAGATGAAATTTATGACTATGTTTTCATAATACTATAAGAATCCCATGCAAATCATTTGAGAGGTGAATCGTTTACTTTAACTAAGTAATGATATACTCTCTATATACGTGTATGTACGTACCTTGGATTAAACAACGCAATTCCTGCTGCGCTGCTGACCAAATTTCTGATACACTATCTTGTTTTTGGTGATTTATGTAGTCCTAACAATTGCATCAAAGGAGACCACTTTAAATGAACTGCTGACCCAAGAATACCTAACATCGAAGGAACATCGCCAAAATCACAAAACCATGGCCGAGTCGTCTCAGTTCGCCTAGAATTTAATTTCGTCCTCCTAGCCAAGTTCATCGGATCGTTGAATTAGACAAACCGATTATTGAGAGGACTTCAAAAACAAATGTTATTTATCAGTACAATAGAATTGTAATATTTCTCTTTTTACACAATAATATTACACCCCCTATAAAGTTTGACCCAGTTTTGCTTTATTGTAATCTTACCCAACATCAAAGTGTAACACGTGAAACTTTTTTTTAATTTCAAAAAGTGGTTTTTGAAGGACTTTTTGCTCGAAAAATGGTGAATTTATTTAAAACTAACTTTGAGAGGTCACGCATCTTTTGATAGGCGATAGTGCATAGTATCATCATCAGGAGTTTTTTTATTCAGAAAATTGGTTCACAAATAAGGGAGAAATGAACCATCCAGGCAGGAACCATCCATGTGTACTTAAAGGTACATGTAATAAAGTAACATCATACTTATGTCCGATCATAAGTTCATATAATAGTTGGCTTTCAAATATTATTTGTTTGACATGTATGAGACCAATGTTAACGCTTCCAGGGGGAATCGGACATGCAGGCCTTACTATAGCCTTGCCCAAGTCGGTATTTTTTTACTCATCTGATATTGAATTATTACCGCCTTGTACAATCCAATACATCTCCGCTGATATTATGCTAAGTTATTCAGCAGTTTCGAGATTTCCATAAATACCTACGCTGTCAGGGGTATCGCGAAACCTTATTTATTGACAAGATCGCATGGGCACGACGTGTGACTTCAGGCTGATTGACTAATCAAAACATCATCAGGTTGACCTGCATAAACAAAGCAAACAACCCGTCTACGACTTGAAATTCAATGATCTGATCGAGTGTTTCTTTAGAGTCAGGAAACCTAAACCTAACAAGTACAACATGTTATCAATTCCTGACCCTTTGAGGAGATAATGGGAAAATCTGGATATAAAGTATCAAGTAACATCTCATATCATATCTTATAGACATATTGCTCCCCCCTCCGTCCCATTTTAATTATTTTCGATTATTTTTTATACAACGTATGGAAACGTATTTTGTAAAGTCATTAAGGTCATTAATTTTATGATGATAATGTCACTTACAAATATTTATTGCAGGTTGTGTAGACCGTTGATGCTTGATTTAAAGCAAAAACATTGACTTTTGCACGTTGGTGGCGTTGCGCCTTTTTTAATAGATCTTATACCTAAGAAGATAATCGGCTAAAAAAAATTCGTAGAATACGTGACATATTTTACCATACAGTGCGCCTATTCGTTTAGCAATTTAATCATAAACCTTTTCTTGGAAAAATATTTTTGCAGATTTGTTCACTTTTCTACCAGAAATTGCTTGCTGCCCCCCTCCGTCCCATTTTCACGATCACCGGGCGTGAGACTTACAATATATTATTTAATTAAATGTACATTGGAATGTAAGCGGTCATTAATATAAAGTAAATCATGCGATTCAATGTTGATTTAAAACTGAATTCGAAAATGCACGGAGACCTAGTCCGGCCATGTAGTCGTCGATCTGATTCAGTGATTGAATCTCACACCAGATGTTCGATCATTCGAATTCAGCGATCGTTTCAACGTTTTTTGTTGGAATCTTCTCACCTATAGGTATCCAACCGATGCTCCGGCACCCAATAAACTCTGATTGATATTTATCTGATAAAATATTTGTATTTTCATGATGAATTCGTGCAAGATTTGTTCATGAAAAGTCCCGGTGAAAAGTGTACTTGTTTTTGACCGTGCATAATAATGAGCTAACGCGTCAGCCCTGTCGTTGATTGGTCAAATTTCAACAAACATAGACATTGGGTCGGTAAAGCACGTGGCATACTCTTGGGTACAAGGCAGTCATAATAGAAATCAAGATAAGTAAAAGAGACCAACTTTGGCAAGTCTAGCCTTACTATTTACACGAGCACATGTTCTTTCTGTTTTGAAAAAGTCGATATGTGATGTATATTTCTTGGTTTTTCAAAGAAGTCTACAAATATTTCGCTACGGTTTTATCTTTACATCGTTATTTTAATCACCGCCATAATTTTTCAAACGAGTTACCTTGAAATATCAAGACGTCATGCTATTTTCATACTTATAGATCTAGAAATCAATGTGACTGTCATTGGCCATTTATTAAGCAGTGGGTGACAAAATGTTTCTACTTTCCCGGTGAATGTCGAGTTTCACATAATACGAAATCAATGTAATTTTAGGCGATCTGTTTGCATGGGGTGTAAAACAACCTTTCCATGGTTCTGTGATTTTGGCGATGTTCCTTCGGTCGGAGCTATACGTTGGTCAACTATTTATTCAACTTTGGGTCTCTTATTGATACAGTCGCTGAGGCCTCGCTGAGGAGTACATTAAATCATCAAAACGGGATACTGAATAAGAAACTGGGTCAGAATCATCAAATACGTTGTTCAACTATATGTAAGTACATGTATCGAGAGTATTTTATTAAGAAATAAAATAAAAGGTTCACTGCTTCAGTGATTTGCAAGGGAATTTTATTCTATTATTACTCTAAAAATATAGTCATAAATTTCATGCAGTGATTAGAAACCCATTTTGGCAACAGGAAGTCTTAAACCGGAAGTGTTAAAACCTTTTAATGTTTGAATCTTTGTTTTGATGATTTTTTTGAATCGTCAAACATAAACTGGTTTTTGTAGTATATGGGCGATTCAGAAGGCGAGTTCGTTTGCCAAAATTATGGAGGGGTTGTATAACCTGTTGCTAACACTGTTTTATGAAATCGCTTGAGCAACCCGCTGTCATTTAGCTTAAATGTTATCTAAATATAATTTGTAATGACTAAGAAAAGTTGTTCGCGGATTTTTTTTATTTCGATGCACGTATTTTGTTACTAAATCACTGATTTTTATTTGTAGTACATCTTGAAATATGAAACTTTAGACAAAAACCAGTTGAACTTGATATTGTTGATTATTCGGTTCCGAGTTCCATTGATTTCAATGGGTTTTCGCAATACCCTCGTGTTCATTCTTAAAAAGTGCAAAGCTTCAGTTCTAGAAAAGCTTTTACATTGATTTTGTTTTATTTGAAAAATAATAGATTGTTCTTGTAGCAATTAAGTATAGCATTATAGCACCAGAACATTTTATTTAGAAAGAAAATTAACAATTAATTACAACATGTCAAAAATTATATTGTTGCCTTTCCAGGTTTTTGATAATTCATAGCTTATGGAGAGATCGTAAGATGGCCTTCTTCCATCCCATAGTGATGTTATTGGTGATGCTTGGATTGACCACTGCTAAGATAGGTGAATAAAAGGCTCGAGATATCAATTCTCAAATATATTTGTCAAGTCATTTTCATTGTAAATGTACTTCAAGTGATT